CCTATAAATTGTGACTTTGCCGAGACATTCTCAGTGACAAACACAGACAATTTCGACAGCGTTGAGGAGGATACATTTACCTCATTGTCATTCCAGAATGCTGTTCATTTTTTCTTTCCAAAGACTGTGCATTTTTTTGGTGTGTTGCAGTTAGATATTACTATTAAAACCGCATTATGGTTTTGCGGTAATCTCTGTTCTGTCCTACAGATTACTTTATTTCAACAATTTTCTAACACATGTTCATGTTTTCGAGCTTCTACTGACTCCATTTCAATAACTGCGTTTCCACGGAGAATTTGGAGACGCGAGGGGTAGGTTTTTCCCCAAAGTTCCTCGTTCTCGATTTTCTCCAATCCGACCGCATTTTCGGGCTTCCCGAGAACAAGTTTTATCCCTAATTTCGTCCGCCCTCGACTTTTTTCCTTCCTCGCAACAAATTGATGAGAACAATAATGGTATAAGCGTAGGCAAATGTAATTTTTTGTCACCGGATCCAAATTTTCTAATTTACGACTCTAGCTTTGTGATCAGGAGATTTCCGCTCCGGGCGCGCGCTTTTGAATTTCCGGCTCCGTCTCCTCGTCCTTTGAAATTCCGACATCAGTTCTGGCTCCGGCTTCAAGATTTCCGAATCTGAAAAAAAAACACTGTTTGGGTCTTCGCTTCAGCTATTAAATGTTACTGAGATATTTTTTTCGAGAAAGACACAAAAAATTTTTGTCTCCTGAGCTTGAACATCCCTGAAAATGACCCATGATGTCCATGCTCCATCCTCGAACAAAGTATCGTAGTGACATTCAGAGGCCGCGGTTAAGAACTATTCATTGTTTTTGTCCCAGAAGAGGGTTGCGACGAAGCTGATCAAAACAGTTGGAAGAGGAGCCTTGGTCGGAATGCGAAAAATGTGGAATTGCAGCCGAATTTTCAGAAATGAGGAACAAGAATAAAAGTTTCAAAAAAGTGGAGCTGGAGATGAATTGCAGAGCTAGCGATGAAGCCACTTCATTGAAGTTCTGAAGACAGAGCTAGGACCCAGTCAGTTCTTTAAAACTTGGGCGTCAGTGTTTATGACTGAAGCACGATATAACTGTTGAAATGTGCATTTACTTTGAAAGTAAACTCTTTGGTATTTGGTGATATCGGTTTGTGTGACCGTTTAATAGTCAATATTTGGAACGCGTTTGTATAATAGCATAATCACTAGGTATCTTTGTAAGACTTTGTTTTTGTCGAAAAGCGTTATTATTTTGTAATATGCGTTGTGTTGTCGTTGCCTGGAGGAATATTCTTTGAACTGATGCTTGAAAATATTAATAACCAAATTCAGTAAACGTCATATCAGATACAATCAACATGCACATTTCTATAATAGAAATCATCGTATGCGAATCGATTACCAAATTTGATTCAAATCTTCGTGCTTTGCGTCCTTCGACTAGAATCTTCCGTATTTAGAAGAGGTTTCTTTCGTGAATGGTTTGGGCGAGGTTTCCATCGACAAGAGCTCGTCGCAAGTTGGAAATTTAAATAAATTTCAATTTTAGGCTTTTCGAACCCTTGAGCAAATCGAAGCCGACTTGGACGCAGCGCGATTACAATCAGCCGCACTTGCGGCACTTATCGCTCCTACAACGAAAATGTTTCACTACGATGAAATCACAAGCAGTAACCATAATACTAATAACAACAACACTAATAACAACAACAGTAATAATAACAATCCATCGTTTGAAACAAACAGCCCAATCCTACTGCAACATCTTAGGAGTCAGGTTATCTCTTATAATTTCTTATCATCAAGTTCATTTAGTGATTTTTAATCTCTGCTATGAAGTAGTCAATCAACTAGTGATTACTTGCAGAAGTGGTATACAAAGACTTGTGTTATACAAATTAACATGTAAATCGTCTTTTGAAAAGAAATTTCTTTAGGTTGTGGAACAAATGAAGTGAGGCAAATTACTTCTTGTTATTTATTCGATCTACTTTTATCTATTGCCGTCGTTCATCAGAAACTCTTTGAAACATCGATTTTTAGTGATCTTTATAACTGTTGTTTATACACTTTAAATATGAAACATTAATGCAGCTACTCATCGCTTTTTTTCTGTCTCACTGTCTTGGTTCTTATCCACACAATTTTGTCTGTTTTCCTATTCTGTTCTTTCAGTACTGGGCTGGGAAAACATCACATCAAGCGTTCTCGTTTCAAACATTACCATGCAACTTTTCAAAACAGCGTTGGAAAACAGTGGGCCAAATCTTTTTTTCGAAATCCAAATAATTCTATAGCATTTATTTTCTTTTGATGCTTATTTCTCGAATGTTTCCTTCGTTTATAAGAAGCAGAACATTTAAATCAAAACGAGATTGAAATTCTTACGATCCGATTCTTTTACTGACTGATTTGCCGAGCAAAGCCATTACACCTTCACTATGTTGCTCTTGACGTCTCGTTATTTCTTTTTGATATTTCCCATGTTCGTCGCGTATAATCTACTAATCTCTGTTCCCAGCTCTGATAGATATCATTCCAATAGGCTGTTGACGAGTTCGGTTTCATCTCAATATCGGTTGGATTGTGTTTCAAAATTACCGTTACGTGTGATCAATAGGCTTTTGAAAATATGCACTGCTAGTTCATTGTGATGTAAAATCATAGCTTAACACAACATGCTTAAATGTATTCACCAACATCAAAAGTGCCCTAGCATTGAAGTGAAATTCACAGAAAGCTCAGCGTTAGCGTTAGACCATAAAACGACCAACTTATTTGAAGGTTGGCATTTTCAAAATGCAATGAAGATTTTTTGTCAGGTGAAATCATGGCCTGAGTAATCATAAATTGAAGTGAGATTTATCGAATTAACTCGAAACCGAATTCGGAATCTCATGAAATCCTTATTGTTTTTGTCTATCCAATAATGGCGAAGAATAATGCAGTGCTGTTGAATGCATTCTTGTTGAGAAAAGAATTGTAAATTTAAAATCAACTTAGTAAGATGTCAGTGATCAGTGAGTTTTGAAACTTGTTGTATAGTGATTCTGAAACTTGGATATTTTTTGATGAAATAATGAAAATTAGGATATTCACTAGTGCGCAACTGGATATCCATTAATCGATGCAGGCACGTTTCACTCCACTTAGGTTTTAATTTGAATACATAGAATATGTTGTATGAAACTATTATCTTCCTCATACTGATGACCATCATCATTAAGATTTCTTTCCACTTTTCACTTTTTTTTACACAGTGAAGACCTTAACAACTGCTTTCATTTTGGCGAATAAATCGATGTAGTTTGAGATTCAGTCGGGTTTATATGGATCTTGTAAGGAATTTCTGATGAAAATCTGTGTTGTAGTTAATGCTCATCGTCAGTGTAGAAATGTATAGAAACAATTAGTTTTTTTCTTATAGCATCAAACTTCATTCAGTGATCAATTGCAATTTCATTTCTAATCACATCATAGCAGTGCGACGATGAAAGCAATACAACTCAATGAATCGAGTTTTCATTTTGGACATTTTAAAGAGTCGAACTTCAAAGAGCCAATGCGAGAATAAACATATTCAAAGTTCAGGGATTCTGCGTTTCATTACTAATTTTAATTGACTTTAAGTTACTCAGAAACAACTCTTTAGTTGGCATAATCTATACCCAATATGTTAGTTAGGACGAGAAAGAAATAAGGCATGAACTATACTATCAATCGACTAACAGTTTCAAATCTCATTCGATCAGCATATTTTCTTTCTTCCCAATTGTACACCATTNACAATGTTTATGTTACAGTTATCTTAGAAAATGAGTTTGAATTTGTACCGATTATTGAAAGATTCTTGTGGTGATTGATCATTTTCGACGACGTTTATTTTTCTGAAATGTGTTGAGCAGTGATGTATTGTTTGCATGCTGTGCTATTCATTGGATAATTCCATAAATGTTTCTTCATTAAACGTATTATTTGAGCACTTAAGCACACATATGCTTCTAGCATATTATATGATTGATTATCGTAGGAGGGATCGAAACTTTTGCACTCATCTATTAATGAACTGCATTTGGCAGTATTACTTATAAGAAACTCATCTCTGTTCCATATGAGCAAAGATTTTTATTGGTGTTTTCATTGAATGCATGAGTCAGTTTGGATGGATCATCAACGACATGAAATTTTTGCTGTGAAATTCTGTTGAGTGAAGAAAAAGCACACATCAGGAAAACCCCAAAATAAAACAGGAAAATGATCAAAGAATACGCAATAACTTTCACTCTCTTTGTTTAACATAAGTTGTTTCATGTATTCTAGTATCAGTGGTGTGCAGTTTCACTATCTTAGAACGATCTGTATTATTGCTCCGAGAAGAAATCGCTAAGAGAAGCAAGCGATTGGATGTTGAAGTATTTTCATAATAACGAAACAGCTCAAAAATTTTGAGCCAATTCACATCACGATAAATTCAGTGTTGGATAAATTGAGCAGTTTATTGGAGAATAACCATGATTCACTCTTCTCACATTCTTTTCGAACAACTCAAGAGCATTCAATTCATTTCTTATATGCACAAATGCTAAAGCGAATTCAGGCGATCCAAAAATGAAATGACAAATTCTTCATTGAATTTGAAGGATGTATTCGAAGCTGTTACCTTTATAGCTTCTCTGATAATGTATGGGTATTTGTATATAGTACATTTATGATTATGATAAGGTCAAAATGCAGTACCAAGTATATATGGAATTATCATGATAAAATCAAGATTATCCTTCTCGTTGAATCGATGCTCTGATGAGTTCCTACTAAGTGATATCGTAAACAATCCTTTTTGCTGCTGATAACTTCATACACATCCAATAGTCGAAATGAAATTTCATCATGCATTAGCAAACCCTTTCACATCTTCCACTTTGATATAAGAATTTATGAAAAAATATTTTACATTTAAATTTCACCTCATCCGGAAGCGTCAAATCCTTCAAGGTCGACTCCTTTGTAATCTTGGCATGGAATTGGAATGTTCTGGCTGAAATTAGCAGCCGATATCGATAAAGTTGAGTATGATTATCGGTTATTAACGATCAAAGTTCGAAGTTACGGACAAAATAAAGACCGGATTAGGTGGTGAATCATTCATAGAGATTTAATATCTGCGAGGCTTCATACAACGTACGCTGAAAGCATTTCTCGCCTGTGAAGGTGTCGTTCGAAAAACGTTTGCTCATGATAGTTTGCGAAATGAATTGGTTGGGTGTGATCGTTTAGTTAATTATTCATTGCTTAAAGTACATTTTATGCGAAAAATGTCATTGCCTTCATGATACTCATTATTAGAAATGCTCTTTGCCTAAATGAGGACTGAATGCGCGTAATCACATTCTGAAAAAACTTGATGTATTTTTATGGGACGCATGGATAGCTGAAACCTTTTTCGAGGGATTTACAAGCCTTGTAATCCATATCTCTCGTATGATACCATGACAATAAACGAATATTCGTAGTGTTTGATAAACGTTGATCAATCATGCAAACAGTTCAAAATCTTAATTGGAACATGAATATGTTTGGTGAATAATTTCTTCATGATACTAAAGATTGCACAATTTTTATACGACTGATTCAAAAATTTGCACAACTTCCACAAGTCAATGTTTTCGAAGATGTGCTCATTTATGCATTCTCGTATGTTACGAAGAAGTATTTAATGTATTGTCATTAGCATATATCTATGCAGTGTTGTTATGGGTTGATGTAAATTAAATTTCAGCCTCCCGTGCCCGTGACAATAAATGCTTCATCGTCACCAGTAGTAGCTCCTTGCTCACCAGAGCCATGCTCTGTTCAAACGGTCCCACTTGCATCCACAACTAGTGCTCCAACCAGTACCAGTGTAGAACTGCAGCCTATAACCGTACCTCCGACGTGTGTTTTTGGACAATACAACCCTGAAGAAAGCTCACCGACAAGTTGCCGTCCCATTAGGTCACAACGTACTCCGATGCGGGAAATTACGACGCTAGATGATCCAACTGAACTGGATGATTTCATGCAACAAGGTGAAGAGGGATGCATTCAGGATATGAAACAATTCATCACTCAATTCTCGCTTCGGCAAACCACTGTCGCGATGATGACTGGTACATTGTTTTACTTTGCGATCGTCTCCTCTCATTCCTCACTGTTTCAAAAATGAAATCTACCGTACTTTATTCAGTTATTTTCATCTTTCCTTTCATTTGTTTCCTGAATTTTTAATAATTTCTGTTGAAATTGCACATGATCATATAAAGACATATTTCTGTAATGATTGCATATATAATTGCTAGAGATGGCTGCCAGAAATTGATCGTTTCTACAAATTCTTGTACATTGCTTGGATATAAACTTATTTACAGGAGTATCGCAGCCATATATTTCGAAATTGCTCAATGGTAATCATCGAGAGTTATCATTACGTTGTCGAAAAAACATTTATTCGTGGTATCTTAACTGCAGGAGGCATCCCGAAAAGTTGTGTAAGTTTCGTACTTCTGTTTCTTTCACTTCTGCTTGTTTTTACGCTATTGTCAGTTATGTTACGGAAAATGAAGTAAACTCTCAATTCTATTCCTATCGACGTTGCGGCCTTACAGTGCATTGCAGTTCACAGTTGCGCCTTCATATAATCGTTTTCTTGCTCGAATTAGACCATTCGTCTTTTAATGCTGCTCACCTATTAAACCTATCCGCTAAACTTTTGGCATAGGATTGGTTTGAAAGGTGTGTGCGTACCCATATGGATATTACTGAATGATTCAACGTTATGTTATTTATATACCAAATGTTTCGATCTTTAAACAATTGAATCATTAAACATTTTACGTCAAACAATTTGATTTCAAACGTTTTCCGCTGATGTGACAGTGCGACATTTTTAGTATGAATTGAACCGTTATGAGGCACTAATGAATTGATGCTTGATTAACGCTGACGCTATGGAAATGTTTTTAAGCAATCGAATTCGATAATATGTCCTAGAATTGAACTTTGTGGCTGTATTGAGTATATAGAATATCAGAGAAAATTGAATTTTTGGGAGACACATTGCTGATGAGTAGATACCTGAAATTATCACGATACCCCTCTGTTGCAGCTTCAATCGCTCGTCACGAAGAAATTTAATGCTATTTTTGAAAAGATATGTTTCAATAGCAATTCTCAGCCATGGTTGAAAGGTATTTTGGTTTGCTGGTTTGTAAGAACGAACGAAACGATTGAATAATTCCTTTCAGCGTACTGACTTGAAGCTAAAAAGCAGTATGAGCACATCAAAAAGTTTTAGCCTTATTAACAATGACCTAATAAACAAACAGAATATTGTTTATTAATTGCTGGCTTCAACAGGAAAAGCTTCTTATACCAACTGACTTTCGTTTCGTCCATGGGAACTTTAAAAACGTTGAAAGGTGAAATTGCAAGAACACTTTAAGACACTTAAACACTTTAAACACTCGAAGAACTTTTAAGACATTAATTTTGCCGCATAACCTTGTTCTACGTTTTGAAAAAGTATTTCTTCTGAATATTTGAGCAGGTAAAAAAATGAAATTCAGCTCCAGCCGTGAGGAATTGGATTGGGCTACTTGAAAATTGCCGAAGCACTTGATTATTCAGTCCACTGGGGTTTGTTTTCGAGCGTTTGGCCTATGATCCGGTTGTTCATTCAATGATTAGGCATATTTCATACTATTGCGCAAAGATAAGCAACACATATGGATTTATGTGATCATCATGCACGTTCATGTTAGATATTGTTGCCTTCGACTGCTGAATGCAACAGTCACTATTTGCAAAGCGTTACATTCCTTTTACTATGAAAAATTGCATTATATACATTCGTATGTTTTATTAAACTTACATTGTAACGTGAATGCATCGTCTGCCTGTTTTCATTCCACAAACAACGTTTGCGTTTGAAAACGCACATCAATTTTGTGCAACTTGAATGGTGTAATATGCGACTTTTGAAGCACAACATTTTTATAAACAACTATTGTGGTCTGCTTTTTTCCAATGCATAAATCTCTTTACGTGATTCTGTTCTATGGTAAGAAGTTTGCTTGTTAGGGAAAATATAACTCGGAGATAAAAAAATAATAACTTCGTTTTCAAGAATGCTTGAAACTGATGAAGCAAGAAATTGTGGAAAATTTAGCTCATCAATTTAAGTTCAAATTCGCTTCATAATTAGTACATGATCAAAGTACAGTGCTCATTAATGTCATTGGAAAAGCTTTCGTGTAAAACAGGTATAATGAAATAAGATCGACTGACTGCTGCGTTACTAGACACGTACGACTAATGTTGCATAGACGATGCATAGTAACGTGGGTGCAACGACGCGCGTTGTGTGTACGGCACTTTGCTCTCGGTGGCAATGATGAGAGTTTTTTGCGATTAAAAAATGGAGCATACTTGATTTGGGGGGACATATCGAAAGTGTGAATGCGTTGTAAATTTTTGTCATAGCGTATATGGTATCATCACAAACAACGTTTCATTTATTTATACGCGTATTGTAAAAATATATGATAAATATTGTACGAGAAGGGGATGTATGTGGTTTTGAAAATGGTCTTAATTGCAGTTTCATGGAAGGGTCGAAAAGAAAGTGGAGGGGGTGAAAATGAATATAATACCATTCGTGCTAATGATACAAGAAAGACAATATGTTTCGAAATCTTGTTATGGTGCTTACCTAAACGTAAAGTTTCACTACATCATCTCAGTGATTTTTTGCCGAAAAAACACATAAAACTAGCGTTGTGGAGATGGAAGAAAGTCGGTGACCTCGAAAACATATCACTTAAAACGGTTACGAAACAAACTTAAATACGGTTATGAATGCATCATAAAACGCTTTTACTTTTGCGTTTTTTGACGTGTTCAGCTGTTCTTTTCCGCCATAAAATTCTTCGGAAATCAGCATTTAGCCACTCCCCATCTTGAATAGATCATTCGTTCAAAAATTTTAGGCAGTCATCCTCCTTTGTTTGATCACTGCGTCCGAATAAGAGTTGCGAAACTAAATTAATGATTCTCGTGCGTTTTTATAATTGCGATTATCTTATTTCAATGCCTTTGTTCATATAGGGCAGGGGTGCCCATAGGGAGGGAATCAGCTGAGCACGCCAAAAAAAACATCTTTAGAGAGTTTGCGTAAGTTATTGCTATGGGAGGGGAGTAATAACGGCCTGTCAGACCATTGAACGGAGTAATGGAGCACCCCGGCGTGGGACCACTGAAGTAGGGCATGTACTGTTTTGATAAGAGCAATCACATTTGCAGCATCATTTTTGGCCGATCCGTCAACACGATTAGAAACGAATGGTGATGGTGAACTGATCCCACAGCGACGAGAGCGCTACGTTTTTCGACCGATTCTTATCCGAATCCTCGAGAGTTTCTTTGCTCAAACACCATTTCCTGATTTGAATCGCCGTATCGAGATTGCTACTGCCTGCAATCAAGCATTACAAATTGATAAAAAAGGTGCATTCATTTCTGTCGATCAGCCATCTATTTGACCATCTTGTTTGTATTCTATTCATTCTCAGTGATGATTTTCGAGTGAACAACGTGGTAAGTGATCGAATAAGGATATGCATTCAGGTGTTGGCTTGATGCCGAAAGAAGTGGTTTCCCCTCAGGTTGTTGCCAATTGGTTTGCGAACAAGCGGAAAGAGTTGCGTCGTCGATCGAATGATGAATGTGCAGAAACGAGTGCTACCAATCGATCCCAACCGGTTAGACAATGATTACAGTTCACTTGTTCATTAGCTGTGACAAATAAATCTGAGCGTGCTTCATCGAATCATTCATATAACTTCAAATCGTTTGCACAACAATTGCGCAAGGTCATCAGCGATCTTAATCGATTTTTGATTGAATCAGAAGTGGGCAATAGCGCGCTGTCGTGTTCAAATAGCGGAATTTCATAGCAATAGCGGAAGCTATTGTCGTTGGATAGCGCTTCAGTGAGTTATTTTTTCGTGAACGGTAGCGCTTCAGCGGACTACGTCCGCTATTCCGCTTTCCGTTCGTCTGCAAGTAAATGCATATTTCTTCCATCATTAAGGTTTGTAAATGCAAATTTTTGCTGTAACACTGCATCAAATTCGAACGGTTTGAAGTTGAGTATACAATCGTGCCTCAACTGCCTTATACAACTACACTGCTAGCATTTTGCCTGAGCTTAATAAGCTATTTGGCTTCAAATAAATTCGGTGGCAGTGCTGTGATGATTTTTTTAACCTTTGTTCTCGCTGTGAAAGGACATGATTGATATTTATTAGGACGATAATATGTGTAACTGTGTTCGATGTAAAAATTTTGCCCAACTAGCGGCTCAGCGATAGCGCTTCGCTATTTTTTTGGCGATGATAACGATAGCGAATATCGTTTGCAGTTTTTATGATAACGGATTAGTGAATAGCGCGCTATCGTTCTCGATAGCGTTAATGGTATTGTGCATTTAACTGTTGAAGTTTTCATGTAATTAGTCATACTGAGTGCTTCAGTTATGCTCAGCATCGGTGATATTTATGGCGACAGTACTTAATACAATAAAAATGATAATGTTTAATGCAATAACACACTTAGTCGATAATATTTAATAATAATAATGTACGCATTTCAGAGTTCATCAGATGCGGGATCAACACCTTCGCCGAGTGGATCAACATCGAATACGCCGCTAGAAAGTGATGAACGTGCCGTATCATCAGCTTCTGTGCCAATCTCAGTGCCTGCTTTACGACCGGACGGTTACGGAATAGGAATCGAAACGAATCTCTTTCACACTTTGAGGGCATCTGCACTGATGAATGCACAGTCGATGTATTCGATGCCACATGAATCTTCATCAGCTCCTCCTGCAGTCACAGCAGGCATCGTCGACGAAATCACCACAAACACCGAATCAGGGAGTATTCAAGAAGGCGCCACACCGGAGCAGTGTCTTGCCGAGATTCAAAGCCAACTCGATATTGTCAACAACTCAGTTCTCGCTTTAGTTAATCCTTATTCGAATTCCATTCATACGCCTGTCATTAAAATGGAACAGACGGCTGAATAGCATGTTATTCTAGGCTCTTCGTCGTCTCATGTGTGTTTCTGATTTCATTTGCCATCTCAGTATTGTCACGTTATTATCTCCTTTCCATGATACATCCCAAATCGCTTTTGCATCAATCGAAACTGCGAATGCGGCTTTTCAATATATATACATACCCCTTTATAATTACATTTTTGAATCACCCAATTCAGTCCATTCTGTTGTTCATTGACGCCGAATTGGACGGATATTTAGCTTACAAAGCACATAATAATATTCATCAAATAAAGCATGCGGTTCTTGATTTCGATGCAATAGCAATGCATCTACCTATTGTCTGCTTGATCTTCGAGATATTCTCGTCAATTAATCCTATTCAATCAATCATCCATTCGGTATGTTCCATATAAAGTCTGTAAAAAGCGCGGGTCATGTAAAAATTCAAGCAATACAACGCGGGTTGCACTGAACTGTAATATCATACAAAAGTTTACTTGTCTGATGAAATGCCACTAAAAAACAGTACATCAAATGCTGCTGCCTTGAACTGAAATGCTTCTTTTCGTGTGTAAAAAAATATTTTGTTATCAATGCACTCATAATCATACAGAGTAATTTTTTGTTCATTGCTGTCTTACATTCTTTTGAATAAATGTTCATTTCATTGTATATTTCGATTAATAACATTACTTTCCTGTCTGATCACATCATTAATTGAGGTACATATTTCGATTGCGAAATGCGTTCTCAAGTCCTCTTCGATTTTTAGCTATGGTAAATCTTTTTTAAATTCATGTATAATGAGAGATCACAGCAACCAAACTTTTCGGTGGTTGTTGCAAGTCATTTTTTTGAAATTTGCAACTTAGGTTCGAAATGATTGCCGTAACTTGTCTTTTGATCAGAGAAAATCAAATCAAGCATAAAGACGGCAATCTTCATGCTATAAATTCCAGATTAACACTTCAAAAAGTTGGTACTTCTCACACTTTGGTGATTTGTACTAATTGAAGATTTCGTAAAGCTTTCGTCTCTGCATACGGTGGATGCGACTTTAGTGAGAAGATTATAACGACATGACGGCTCTACAAGGTCATTCCGAGGACGTATCGAAACTGCACATAATGGCTTTGACTAGTTCAATTTGTTGCTGATGAATTTGATTAGAAATACTTTCTGTTCTTACAGCCAAATAATAAAATTGAGGTTTCTTGAGCCAGCCGTGTTAATGACGATGAAATTATCGAGCAAACGGAATGTTTAATGCATTTTCATAGCGACACTTAATTGTCCCGAAGTGTTGCTGTACAATACAGTTAAGTAGTGCATATTCCAGTCTTATCAGTTCCATACATCTCACTGACTGAAGAGTGATAATAAACAAAATAAGCACTTCTCAAAGTACCAGAGATGATGAGTGGATTGCCACCGTACACTTCAACGGTTCCTCATAGTTAATTTGTCCTCATAGTTAATTTGGTAATTTGTCGGTAAACAAGTCGGCTCACATCAGCATTCTTGACATTCCAGTTTAATGACTGTTTCCTTTGCAAACTAAGCCTTGAAATCCATGCGATGAAAATGTGCTCGCCTTATCAGCCTAAGCTAGGACCTAAGCCAGTCGCTTTCATTTTCTTAAATATTGCAATGGGTGTTTCCATAAACATGCCTCCAATCGACTTTGTATCGCGGTTATTAGAGTAAGGAGGTGGGCAAGGGCACATTGCGATGGCAAACACTCAACAATGGCTAATCGTTTTTATCAGTCTATGGCCAAGAGCGATTCGGCTCATTCTTAACTGATCGATCAGTCGTCTGCGGTTTCGGTCGTTTGCACAGACTTGGCTGGTCTTCAAAGGTGGATGAGCGGCTGCCGACCGAAGCCTAATATCATGGCACAATGAATATCAATTCTCACATCTAAGTAGTAATAACCAACACATATTAACTACCAACATCTGGTATTTGGATTGGTACTAAGACTGCACACTGAATTTACCACTGTTCCTTTAAAAAAGTTTAGCAGTACCCACCCAATTATATGCGGAATGAAAAATGATGCAACAAAAGGTGAAATCCAGTGTATGAATATTATCATTCATCTTTGCACGAAACCTGCTCCTTGCTATTCCGAACGTGGTTCCTTGAAGGAGACTGCTGAAGTAAGCCAACCTTAATTGGATGGTGAAGATGAATTGAGTGCATAGTTTGTTCTTGATAAGTTGATTGATCAAAGCCTAACTTTAATTAAAACCAAGAAAAATAACAACATATAATATGTATATATTCTTTTAACAGAAAATGGACTGATAGCCCGCGAAATCGGGGTCGAGGAACTCGGACCACTCGCAAATGCTCGGGGCTGATACTCTTGAGTGCTCTCAGAGTCCTCCAAATACTCATTAGATCATTAGACCATTAGATCATTAGACCACTCATTAGTTCGTAGGCCAAATGTCTATTGGGCCAAAGGTCCAGCCAGGCAATAACTCATGACAAGGATATTGAGAATCATATGCCATTTTATGCTTGCTTCCCTGCGAAAGCAATTATGGGGAAGAAAGTGAAGTCAGCAATAGATTAACCGACACTTTGATTGATCACTGGATAAAATTTAGAAATCCTTCAATGGAGATGTAAATGAGGTGATGGGGTATGGTCAGCACACTCATGCAGTCAATTGAAAATTTAGCAAAAATGATTGATCTCCACTTGAAATGAGAATACTCAAATTGAGATCGCATGGTTTGCCTACACATGGAATCACCACAAATAAGAAAACTGAGATCATTGACATCACCTTTAGATCAGTGAAATGAGAAAGTGATATTGGAAAGAAATACTTGGTTCGGTTAAGCTGTCAAATATTTCAAGCGTTCCGATAGATAAATCACTCCATCTTCTGAACTAAAGCAAATTCCTAAGAATCATCTCTAGAGGTGAATTCGAGACTGGAAGTATGAACGAAGGATAAATTCGTGATTATTTTCCAAAAATGACTGTATTTATGCAAAAATTCATATTGTTCCATATTAATTAGAAATACCGAAATTATATTATAGAAGAAATTGGTGTGCGCAAGGGTATTTTCACTCACTATTTGATCTTCTCCCTCTCCACTCACCGCAACTAATGATCAGATGTGATCGGGAACAGGTTCGAAATTATTATTAATAGGTGAGGATGTTCCACAAGATAATGTTTTGTCTGCAGATTTTGGCAAAGGTTTGAATTGTATTTTGATAAATTAGACTGGCTTTCCTGTACTGCTACTAGGAGCTATTTTCCTGTAGCTTACTGATTCAGATCTGGACAACAAATTTACATACATTCAAGTATGGCTACGCTCATAAGCATGCACCTTTAAGTGTCAGTTTACGCTGCCAAGTGAGCAATCGCATATTGCGTCTGTGATACTCGGTCTAAAATGTATCATGTGTTTTGCATTCCTAGCATGAAAGTTCGCAGTGAACCGATCATTGTTATCAGCAAGAACGAATAATTTTGAAGTGATATTTTATCACTCTACGCAGTAGTAGGTATCAATTGCATCGATTGCAAATACTCGTCAAACTACGAAGTGATAAGAACTTTATTGATGGCCGTAAACTGACGGCAACAATCAACAATGCATACAAAAACTTATCGGTTGGTTGTTGCCTCGATTCTCTATTCAGAGCAAGACAAACGCGTTGGCTGTCGACCCTACGAATTGCTGGAATATCTTCAGCAAGTAAATCCTCTTTCATCATTTGTTTCGCATTCAATGAAATGTTTCATTTTTTACGACATGATTGAGTATATAATTAAACTATGCATAGTTCTTTTTTTTTTCATTTCATTCCGTAAAGAAATTCTTGAGATCATTTCAACTGATTCTTCATTGAATTACTCGCTTACATTGTTCAAATGTAAAGTAACTCAACAAAAGATATCATCAATAGTAATCTGTTACAAGCATAAGACATCGTATTATTAAATAGCGTTCAGATTCGAAGAGTTCAGTCATCCGTCGAAATATGTAGGTGGTAAACAGAGACGAATCACTTTCAGAGTTGAATTCTTCGGATGAACACAACGATGACGATCAAATGACCTTAAAATGGATATATTTAGGAAGCAATTCATTAAAATGCGATCGAATTAACGATATTTGTCTTTTTGTTTCATAGTTACAAATGCTTGATACTTGTTTCACAGGAATATTTTATTGCAAGAGTTTTGATTAATCACAACACCGTTTGTTGGCAATTTTCTGGGTTGAAACTCATTAATATTCGTTGATGAATAATCTCTGTTTTTTTCAAGGCAGTCGACTACGACGATGAAGAGCACAATGCGATCGTCTCCGATATAGAACATTCGGCAAGCTCATTACTTTTCAACAATTTAAATTTTTTTATCAATTTCAAAATTTTTCGCTGTCTTTATGAATGTTTCAATGGGACTCACGGTAAATTCACCTATACTGTGAGCAAGCAGTTGTAACGAATTTGCTAACCATATTACCAGCAATATCTGGATTGGCTAAGCTATCAACCGTTTGTAGCATTGCAGGCCACAGTGCGCTTCCATTCGGTTTTTGACCTTACTTTCCATTGCCAGTTCCTTCCGAGTTTCTAGTTCTATCTTATGGTCTTTTTTTCAACCTTTAGGTACCACTCACTAACTGTATAAGTCCCTCTGTCGTCATTTGTTCTGGCTACATTGTCTGCCCAGCTTAGTTCCTACTTCTTAAATTTTTCGATTACGTCCAACACTCCGCTTTTTCGGCGATTACCCAAACGTTGAATGTGTTCTCATAACGATATTCCCAATGTGCATCTTCCCATCATCCTTTGTGCTGTTAGCGGCCGTTACTTTTCTTTTCTCGATGTTGCCCACGTTTAACTTGCGTAATGCTGATCGAACGGTGCCACTAGAGAGACAAAAATTGTTGAATGCAAATGATCATGATGAAACCTTGTTGCAGACTCGATTCAACATCGAAATTCGCCTTTCTTGTGAGAAATCTCATTTTTTCATTGTAACCATTCAACAGTGAGTTGATACTTTAAATTTTAATAATAAAATTATTCTATAACATGTATGAGAATTTTAAAAATCAAATTTTGGTTAGCGCAATTTTCTTGATTTCAATGGTTTGATGCTGTGTAGACAATCATAACTTCGAACAGCAACAGCGATCTGGCATTGACTGATATCTAAAAACTGTCTGATCAAAAATATTTCATTGCTAGAACAGAAATTTCGTCGAGGCTGTTTGTTCTTTACATACTTCACCAGTTTGCGGATGGAATGACAGAATAACAATGAAACAATTATATCGTTTCAAATAAAAGTGCCTACAGCTCATATGAAATCTTTTAGGGACAGAAGCGATGATCGAAGATTTCACTCAGAGCATTATTTGGAAGCAAATTCACGAGAAAACTATTTTTTGTGAGTGGCCTATGATAATATCTTTGGGAAAGAGATCCAATCAAATCTTATCAAATTTCACGACAGAAATTCATAATGCATTGTTGAGTAAGTAAAGATTCAGCTACTACTGATCTATGATATAGAGATATTGGTGAATCAACAAATCGTTTATTGACGGTGTGCCGTGCTGAGGAAGAGAACACATCCAGAACACTCTCAACAAAATCCGATGTATCACCAAGTGAAAGTCCTATTCAAACACACAAAATGCGCAAATCCAGTTCGTTTCTCAAAAGGTACATCAATTCCGCTCGATCATTGTGAAATGCGCTTATGAAAGAGTAGTGCATCATTTGTTCGTTTCAATGCGTTATTAAAATAAGAACAATCTGCATTCGAAACTGACAATGGGATAGATATCTTATAGTTAGAGGGGAGTTTGCGTTGGATGGTTTGGTGATTTTTGAGATCCTATTAAATTTATCCGTATTTCACGTAAATTCATCACAAGCATTGAAGTTTTTGGTTAATGCCGCATTGCAGCGGTCAACGCCATCCGTCGCATGAAAGCAGTTATTCTAGAACAAATTTAACATTACAAAGTTTCAAAGCATCCGACTATAACTTGAGCAGGACACTAACTTGATGCAATTCGATTAAACAAAAACGAATAGTGTAGGTTAAGACGCAATCGATCAGACTCGCTTTATCAGATATCACTGTCGAACTGTACTTTGGATGCGTGGAATCAACACTCACTGTGTTCGATTGTACCTAATTCAGTTATCACTTTCCGAATTTTGGTTAGTTCTTATATTTATTCAGCATTCATTCAGAAAATGCATAGATTTAGCTGTTTTCCTATGTACACTCTGATATCACCGAACAATCTAAGTAACCTAAGTGGTTCATAACTATCGATTATGTCATTCATCTCAGTCTAATTCACTTTTCAGAGAAATTCAAAGAATATTCCCAGTCATCAGATAATCGTTCAATCAAAAGAAATATGTGACGATTTCTTTGAATTAACCAAGTGCATCATTTATATGGAGGCTCGATTGCAATGCGAGGTTTTTTAATGCTTTTGAGATGAACTTTGCAGAGTTCATTAGCAAAAAAACATCTGAAATTTTGCATACTCCTCATTTCAAAACTTTAGTCTCAAAAAATCGATATATCTACGAATTCCAAAATGATACCATTCAATTGAAATATAGCGCTCATATGATCTTCATTTTAATGTGATTAACTGCCTATTTGTTTTGTAGAGATATAATACACACGAATATCAAGGTGATTTGGGAGGTGCAGCTGATGCAATTCTCTATCATTCATTCAACTTTAGCAATCTACCGTACGTTTACAGGAGAATCATGTTAGTTTTTGGCATGGCGCAAAGTGCACTGCAAAAGCCTCATATCCGCAACAAAAGCTTTGCACTGTTGAATTAGGGCTATTCTTAAATATGTGTAAGACTGTTCGAATAAGTGTCCATTTTATTTTCGTTTCATCCGAATGGTTCTTCAACGAATGAACACTGACTGCATGAGAATGCTATTTATAGGATCTTAGGCGTGTTTCTGGAATGGACGCACGACAAGATCTCGCTGAATGAGCGTGCCGTTTCTTATGCTATCACACAGCTACGAACTTCATCGCATATCGACATTGATAAATGCTTCTTAGCTGTACGTTTGTACATTAATGCTGAAATCTTTAAACTATGAAAAAAATCTTGAAAACAACCTAAGATCCGCTTGCGGAATAGACCTTCTGCCATGAAAACATCACATTCATTCACGCACTTAGTTCCTCCAAAAACAAACCTTGATTTTTTGCCAACAATACGCTTAAAATGTTTCTTCAAACTGATTTCAACGAGCCTAGATACTGATTCAGCTGTCCAAGGAACTTTTTTGGAAATCAGTAAGCTCTTTTGAGCAGTCCCTTTTTTCGCCCTTAGAATTTTGGAAAATCTACACCGTTACCTGCAGTTTTCATTTGAAAACTTTTGGAAAACGCATTTGTTTGGGGTTTCAATCATTACTTCACAATGGATGAATCGATAGGTTAGTTTGAAATAAATTATTCCGATCCGAAATCGCCTCACTTACTTTCACACAACTCAGTGTATACATATCAGTTTTCGTGCAATTTTCGAACGAAATTTCAAAACTGAGGAAAATGAACTGAGGATCAATACGAAATAAATTACTATAAGATAATTCGCTGTGAAAAAAGAAAAACAAAGATGCAAAACCAATGAAGAATAAGATTTTCAAGAATGCGTCTTTCAGAGCTGTCGGTTGTCTCTTGCAGCTGATCACTTCATCAGAAAAACGTTGCACAGTGCTCATGCAATCAGATTTTTTCCACCTATCGCACACAATTCATTGATGGAGTTCGGTCGAAAAATTGAGTAAGTTGTTCAGTTGTTTTTCTCACTAGGTAAATTCATTGGAGCATAGAAGATAGGTAATTGTTGATTGATTGATGACTGTCCAATATTACCCCTCCGTCGTTCGTTTAGAAAGATTACTTATTGTTAGTGGTTGCTGAAACGGTGCGTGTGCATGTTGCAACTGTCCTCGTCTTGGGTCGTCTTCCCATTAAACAACAATGAAAATGAACGACTTCTGTACAAACATTGTTATTATTAATTAGGTTCAGAAATGGAGAGCCAATAGCATGCTGAAAAAGAATCAAACGAAACAAAATTACTGGTTTCAACTAAGTGAAAATGTGTTTCACATAAGCGACGTTTTATGGCTTTCCAGCAATATGCATGCCACTTCTCAGTATTAGCGCAGATTAACCTCTTGCATAGTTGGAATTGTTTGAAACATATTACGTCATTCAAAAGATCATAATCGTCAAATTTGTGAGCAGTTCAAACTCAGTCGAAATGGCCCAGCATGCAAACGCTTACATTAGGTCATCTAAGCACCGTTCAACGAATTCGATATGCATTTATTAAATAGCCCATTTGAAGTACGCGTACATTTTTTTTTTGTTTCCAGCACATATCATTAATATTAACGCTCTCTCTCATTATTAAAACAACTTTGAAGATTGGCAATGTCAATGCGCAATCTTGAACTTTGGCGTCATTTTCCATCGCATTCACCATTCGAGAGTTTTGGTGACGAACTTCGACAAATTATTCATGTGAGATAAATAAATTTGAACATTTTTGCTAGCCACGATTCACTTTTTCACTGAATTAACTTGATCAATGACAGGCAGTGATTCACTGACCTTGCATCGAAGTATTATACTCTTGTAATACTTCAAAGCATTAATTTGATCGTTTGAGTTGAAAATGCCTATTAGATACTACCTAATGAAGGCACACAGGTTTAAGGATGAAGTCGTCATATGGATAGAAGAGCAATATGAGTTAGACTTGCCCAAAAGTGTTCGTTCGATCAGTTATTCTTTATCGCTCTTAGCAGAACCGTATATCAGCTTCTTTCGTCAGTTCGACATCTCATATATTCAAGTCATCTTCTCAACTCTCGATAACGAGGTTAATCTTGTTAAGTAATCTGAAAGCAACAGAACATCTTTTACTGATGTTAACATTCATTGTTTCACATCGATATCATATTGAAAAGCCATATTTCATCTAGTTGTCAGCAGTAAAGTGTGCAATTGTTCAAATGCGTTTTTGATTTGATTCGTTCCAGTTGTGTAGAAGGGGGAAACGTTTCATTCGAACAGCAATTAACCAACTGAACCCACATAACGACGAAAGTCTCGAAGCATTCACTAAGTCGACAATGAAATTGTTTGATGGATTCAAAAATATCGTTCTTACCGCGAAAGACGCACGGTTGGTCCACAAAAAATTATGCGAAATATATTTTCAGGAAGTGTTCATTGATTGTGAGCAATAATGAATTATTTCGAAATTTTCGTTCTGAAAATATTTGAATCGATTATTTATTAAAAAATCGAATCTAATAAATCAACATCGTCATCCGATGGATCACCGAAAAAAATCACGTTACATAGATCATCCAGTGATCATCTATCGTTAACGTTTCTATCATTTGATCGAATCTGCCGTTTTGATCTGATTTGAAAAAAAACAAATAAGCCAACATGCAGACAAGCCAAAACCATAACAAGCTCCACAGTCGTATCTGCAAGCCTTTAAAGAATTTCCTTGATATTCCGAAGAAATTTATCTCACACAGAAACGAATTTCTCATGCCTCAAGGGCATACCAAATTTTTTGCATCATCCGCTGAAACCAGAATGCCAAATATTTCGTCTCTAATCGAGGTTTATTTTTTGTTGTCTTGTATCCAAAAGATTGGTCGGAATCGCGAACGTTTCCTGGTATACTTCAAATGTCAATCATTTCTTGTACGGCTCTTCTTGAGATCATATTAATGATTCCGAAGTGATGAAATGTTGTTGAAACACAAGAATACTGCAATTTTGTAGAGTGGAAGGAGGTGACTTATTTTTCTACGAGACATGGTTCACTCAGTGTGTCATTTTTTGGACGTATACATGGAGGTGATCATTACATGATTCATTCAAAGTTATTTCTAAAAGCAGTCATCTTCCCAATAATTGATTAGCTTTATGATTGTACACCTCTGTCGATTTAGTTTTGTTGAATTGTTGTCAGCTACAGTCTCTTTTCGGAGGTTCCTTTCAAAAGATATCCATTTTCTGGAATTCTTTAGGCGTTGAATAGTGTCAGAAATATGCAGTACCAACGTACAGTTAATTTTCATACTCATTGTTTATCTAGAACTGTGCTATTGAAACCTGAAAACAGTTAACTCGCATGGTTTTGTGATATTCTCAGTTACAAAACCGATTAGTTTCATGTTTTTGAATTCATTTTCCCTCAGCAATGATTCGAGTATGTGTATCGTTTCCCAGTGAATTTAGAAATTACAAAAATTTTTAAGCTGACAAATCCAAGGAACAAAAAAGTTTAAGGACAATGTGTCGAAATCTGACACTTCGTGCATTAGATGAAGACAACGATACTACTTACGACGAGCGCGTATTGCCATCTTGCGTTAATTTCTTGGCCGTTCATAAGGCACTCTACGAGGACTTCTCACGTCTGCAACTACGAAACACTAGCACTGCATTGATGTGCGTTCTCAAAATCGCTCTTGTACGTCATTTGTCCATGGATATATAATTTTGGAGAAGGTGTAACTTTCAAGAAAATTTAATTAAGTATAAAACATTCCAGGCTTTTAAGCAAGCAAGTTCTTGAATACTTCAAATATTCCATCTCATTATTTTCTTATTTATTCCACTTAATTGCAGACGGTGGCCGACGATTTGCTCTTATATGCTAAACAAATGAAAGCCGAAAATCACAGATTTGACTCGAATAAGGTGGGCCTCGGAAATGCACTCAATCCAAAAATATCATATGTACTTACTACTGATTTCTCATTTGTCATTGACTTTGTCTGGGTTCAATGAAATACGAGTGAACATCGCCGTCAGATTACGATCAAATAGATACCGATCGCACTCATCTCACGCGTGTTAGCAAAAAAATATTGCAGAGGATGTTAGCAGCTAATAGCATCGACCACATATGTAAATTCGTACAAAATAATACGAGTAGACTGCTCGGTATTGATGCACTTCTAATGTCTTTACCTGAAGCCGAATCATATCAAGCAAATTCAACTTTACATCAAATCTTATCGAACACTGTTGAGGTAAATTCTTTCTTCAAGTTTCATCGTATTCTTAGACATTTTTCCACTCGTTGAAATGCGAATGTGGCGAGGGAGCCCTTTTTTAGAATGATGACACTTACCGTTGACGGCAATGCACTAGCACGGATGTTGCTAACAATAAGATAAGTGGAATGTGGAAACGTATGAGGCGATATCGTTTTCCAAATGTGCGTCAAATTTTGCGCTAAGGAATGAATAATGCATTTTGAATGTTTAGCAGTGTAAGAGTGTTTCTATTTGGATTGTGACAAGCTTGTGTGAAGAACGCTCTGAAACAATCGCAAAGCATTGCCATTCGATAACACAAGTTGGTACCAAAAGACGCAAAAATCTTGTAGGTGATCACTAAGTTCCATTGAAATTTCAGAAGAGTTCGTACTTTTGTCATTCACTTTCAAATATCGAATTACTTGAAAGTTGACAAAGACAAACAATAATTGTTGTTTATGATAAGATGATTTGTTGAATTCCGTTCATTTCTTAAATATACGAATTTCAGTTGGTGAATCTGTTGATCGTCACCATTTTTAAATTAGCGTCAGTTCGAAATGTTAATATAAATTCTGATACACAAGTCGAGATCATTCGTAAACAAGCTTATTTGACGATGGTTTTTTAATAGCACTTGTTGGACACAGAACATTTCAAGATACTTTCCAAGTAAACTTTCAGAAAGAACATCTCGAATGCACGAATATTAGGTTTTCAGGAGTGGTTACGAGCAGTGTTAACTTGTGACCGAATGGATCATTACATTTTAGCGTATTTGGATCGTTTCTGTGTGCAAATCAATACAATACTGTTTCCTCGTCTAAGGCTCGTAACCAATATCGATTCCTCTCGGAATGAGTTCTTGAGGATTTCAGCTGCACGATGCTTTTCAAAAAGTGCATTTTTTCGAACGGAATTTCATCCGTATTGTCAAGCATTTTGAATGCCAATAGTTTGTGGCATTGTACAATTTGATATTGAGTAGCACTTGTTCAGAAAATATCATATAAAAATGGAGAGTCCTTAACAGAGGATTGTTACTTTAGTGTACACGCACATCAACAAATCCTTCAAATATGTGAACGATCGATTTTGGAAAGCCTTCAGAAAGGACAGCCACCAGCGTATTACCACCAAGTGCAGGTATTCTGTACATTATCACAACAACTGAATTTCTTGATCTTTAGACGTTTTCCAGAAAGCGATAACTTAATGTGCCGTTCACGGTTCTTTCAGGATTCACGGCATGCTCCTAAGAGCAGGACATGATTTTTATTTCGAATGTAACGAGAACTAGCAATTAAAATCTCAGTGATGCTTGAACAAAAAAAAATCATCCTATGCACTTTTATAGGCAATCATTTTAAGTGATGAACATTCGTAAAAACCCTAAAATACAATCTTATTGCGGTTTATGCAATGGCGTTTCAAGGATAAGTGTGTCATACGATAGATTTGGAATACATTTGTTCAGTGTGATTATGAGATGATTCGGCGGATAGTTCAAGCGGATGAAATAAATTCGAGCACATCGGTACTCATGAATGCACTCTATCTGAATTCATCTTCCACCAAAGAACTCATTCAACAATATTACACACAACTCGCCGACAGAAGTGACAGCACTTCTTTGCAAACCTCAATGCCACACATTCGAATAAGAATCGGTTATGTTCCAACAACAAATCAACGCGTCATTATACAAATTGACGGTTTGCATTCTTTTGCTTAATTGGGAACTTATTATATTCTTTTTGAAGTGAAATGATCGTCATCAGGTACAACAGCAAATTATTACTTATTCAATTTAATGAATATTAAAAAAGATTAATACTATCTCCTCAAACACATTCACCTAAAGCTAGGAGGGAAGTGAAGAGTTAGCCACAAAAATGAGACCACTGAACTAAAGAATGAGTGTTGCAGTATTGGGTGCATCCAACTTACCGATTCTCGATCATCTTGCAAAGACATGCGATGCATACTGTCGCATTGAAGTATTACCGCATATAATATTTCCACTGGAACAATTTCAAGCTCAAACGACAATGATCCAGAAAGAAACGCATAATCCAACTTGGGATGAACATTTTCAGTTGTTCGTTTATCATTGTTTTCTTTCTTAGAGCAGAAGAAGAACAGTTTATCCCGAACAGCGATATCACCAAACATAACTCAGTACAACATCTAATGATAGAACACTTACTACGAATTACGCATCCACTTATTATTATTATTATACTACTGGTATTATTATTGTAATGCATGCATTATAGTTATTTTTATTATTGCGTATTATTATTATTATTACATTGTAATATGGTTAAGAATTACAGAATGGTGAATGAAGATTGCTTCTATATGAACGGTTCAGTGCTATGTTTGAGCGTTTTGGAACATGAAGTGCTAGGCTATAACGATCTTGTTGGACAAGGTTTCGTGCAACTCTCGCGAATACCGCGCCTCATATCATTTTCTAAAAAGCACCGTGCTGCGATCACTCGTCTTCCTTTGTTGCTGCCTACAAAGGAGCAGTTTATTGGACCATTTCAGGTGTTTTTATATCGTATTTTCTCACTGCAAATGTTTTCATTTTGAACGAAGAAACACGGCATTCGGCTCTGCATGCAACCTATTATTTTACGTGCTCGAAGTTGAGAAAAGTTGAAAAAGAATGTTGAGGAAATCAAATTAACATCCCTTCTTTTCTTGGTCTTCCGGACGAATGCATCTACAAGTGGTGTTATACAAACCACATTTACCCACAAAGCATTTACAAAGATGTTGAAACCACTGTTCGATTTTTGATGAATGAACGTTGACAACATTGTAGGTGCTCGTTGAACGAAGTGCAAAAGACGTGACAGCAAAAGCAATGTGTGACTATGAGCGCTATTTACATGACTATCACATGCTTCCACCGTATGCGGATCGCAGTAATACCACCAGAATCTTGCGAAGACGATCAACATTTAAAAAACTGATGATGCATGCACATATCAGACGTTCTGCTACCACCATTTTAACCTCGTCATCTTAGGGCCTGACAGAAAAAAAATTGATTCGAATTTATTTAGTTGGTAGTTGTATTTATGAGTTCAACCAAAAGCTGTTTTAGTTGAGATCAATGCATGATTACAACCAGCACTGTGCTCATTGTAAAAGTGTGCACCATTTTAAAGTAAATAGTTATTTACTTATTCGCTTGAAAATATGTGTACAAGTTTAGTGCAGCGATAGGAGTGTGGTGAATATGCTACCTCAACTGATGCTAGGCAAAGCAGAGAGGAGCAAAAAGATCGGAAAAAAAATTTAAAAAATAAAAATCTTATCATATTTTGACATGGATACCATATGAAATACACATTATCACATATCGTTAGCATATCAAGCGAATCGTTCTTATAATACCCGGACAGTAGTATAACATAACATATATCTATTCGAATCATAATAATTTAGCTAGTTGTGTACAATGAGCACGGTTAGACTTGTGAAAAAGAAACAGAAAATAATGCTCACATGAACTATGAAGAAATTGTTGATCTGCGCCGATATAAAGTATTAACGGGCTTTGTTTTTGTTCGTTAAAGAGGTCGTTACTGGATGACTGTTCTTCATGAGATGTACTAAATGACACGGCATGTTCAATACGTGAAACTACCCGAACGATGTGTATACGGCAAATCCTCCTCAAAACTTGTTGCATATTACGACACAGCAACAAGGAAACTTTTAGCAACACAACATTTCAATTGATCTTCCATCATTCAAACCGCTTTTTGTAGCAGTTCGGCTCTCAGCTATTCAGTATACCTTCAGAAAGTTACCTGTTCAACAACAAATAAATGATTCCTTCAACAAATAAATGATCATTGGTTGAATTTTTCGGAAGGACAACGATATAAGTGAATGATGCATACATTACTGTTAGCAAATAAATAAAGAATTGAATGAATCATGCAAAAATGTGGTCGTTGACCACGATTCAGGTTCATTTCCTCAACCCTAGGTCTGAATAAGAAAAGCAAGTCGTCGGAAAATGTGGTCATTCAACCACTGATCATTTATTTGTTGAAAGAATGGGAAACCTGAAAATGATTAACGTTCACGAACTCCCTCACTCAGTTTTTAGTTGATAGAAGGAAAGAGGAGCAT